CAACATTGTTTACCTTTCTAAATCAGTAACATTAGTCATGAGAAAACCACGAGACGAGTATCGGACCTATGATGGACAATATATGTCAAACTCAAGATGTAAATAAAAACTTCGACCATTCTCCTCACATGATAAATGGAATATATTATAATATAGAGATAAAGCAAATGTGAAATATTCTTTATTTAGTATTATATAGAATTTTTAAAGCCTGGCACAGGCAAAAAAAATGTCTTTATGTTTTTTTTGTTTTTTTTTTGTTTTTCTTTTTGTTATTTTTTTCTTTTTTCTTTTGGTTTACATTTAGGTTTTGTAGTTAGTCCCCTCTTTTTTTCTTTACTTCCTTTTAGTTTTTTCTTTTGTATATCTTGTTGTTCTTTAGGCAAGGATTATAGAATCCTCTTGCTTGATAATTAAAAGAGAGGAAAAAATAATCAAAGATGAAGCTAGGAAGACAATATTGGAGCTTGTCATGAAAGGGAGAAGACCCTTTCATTATGGACTTTAAGTAGTTTGATAAGCGATTTATTTCTGCTTGAAGTAATGTAGCAGGTCTGCCCTTAGATGCCATTAGAGTAGCCAAGTGATGCTAGACTTAGTTGTTAAACATCGATGTAATTGTAATAATTACTAGAATATTAATAAAATACTAGCATGACTGCCTAAGATTAAAAAAATATATATATATATATATATATATACAGATGAATCATTCAAGAAATTAGTAACAGAAAACTTAATAGAAAGTGATCATATAGAAGTAAGATGAGTACAAGTAGATAGTAAAGAGAAAAAAGTAATCAACAAAGGTACAATTGGTGCATGAAATTGGCCTTTATCAACAAAATCAGAGTTACTTGTGATCTGGTATATGCTGCTAATAACACCAAGAAAGAAAAAAAATCAAGATTTACACTGATAGTACAGTAGCAATAGCAGGCCTCAACAAAGGTAAAAAGCTAAAGTCAAGTAGACATTGGATCAAAGAAAAGAATTATAACCTTAAGAGAAGTATTCTAGAATTACTTAGTTTAAAAGAATTAGATTTAAATTTAGTTAAAATAAAAGGACATAGTTGTAACAAATGAAATGATAGAGCAGATAAATTAGCAAAAGAGAGAGGCAAAATAGATAACACTGATAGAATAATAGAGGTGCCATTTTCAAATTCAAATGTTTCATTCTGCTAAGAGAATTTAGTAATCAAAAGCTTGATGAAAAAGTTTATCAAAAATGTACTAAAACTTAAAGTCAGAGCAGAATGGAAGTTCATATCATCAATTCAAAAAACAGAACCAACCTTGAAAAAAGAAGAACATGACTGATCAACATTATAGCAAAGCATTAAGAGTCAAAGTGAAACAAAATGTATAAGTATAAAAAAAAATAGAAAATTAGCAATGCTAATTAAATGTGTAAATGAAAAACTATCTGTATTCAAGACCTTGACACAAAGATGATCAGATTTATACAAAAACACAATTTGTATACTTTGTAATAAAGATCATAAAGAGGATCAAGACCATCTAGCAACATGCAGCAAGCATAAAAAAGAGTAAAATGATACAGAAAATATATCAATCGATTTGGCATAGACAGTACTTGCAAAAGAAACCCAAAGAAAGATGAATAAAGAAGAACTTAAAAAACTTTTATAAAGAATTTCAAAAAAAGAAAGATTAGTAAGCAGATCCAAAATCATCAAAGGTCTAATGCAAGGAAAAACCAAAAAGTTGGTACAAGATATTACACAATCTCTAAAGAAAACCAAGAATTTTATAACAGTGTTCACAAATGTAGCATGAAACAGATTCTTTAAAAACATATAAAAAAAATAGTATAATATTGTTGCTAACTAGGAAAAATTAGTAGGAATTAAAACCACAATTAAAAAGAAAAAAATAACAAAAAACAAAACCTCTCAAGCAAGGAAGCACATAAAGAAGAAAAGGCTTTAAATATAGATGAACAAAATCGAGCTATGAGAGAGAAAAAAGTGAAGAATAAGGTTCAAATCCAGAAAACATAACTCGATTCAGTTTTTAGTTTTGTAAATAGAAATGTAAGACCCTTCTTTTAGAGTCTTACTGGCTAGCTTGGTATAGCTCCAGGCCAGAAATAAACACCTGGTCTATGTGGCAAACCATTTCTAAAAACTCATAGAAGTAGCCAGAGAATGTTGAACCAAATTTAAGTTAACTTTGTACAACTTGTATACAAGAATCTTAATAATGATAATCAGCAAGGCTGTCTAAGATATAAAAAAAAAAAGATAAGATTTAAATACCCAATCTACTACTTGAAAGGTTGACAACCTGACTACTTCACTAGATTACTACACTTTTTAAAATATGCTTTTGTAATTGTATAAATTTGTAAATATATTTAAAAAGCTCTAAATAAAAAGATAATATATATAAAAGATGTAATAACTTAGTAAAGTAAATTAGTTATTAATCTCTCAAGTAGTAAGTAGTAAGTTCAAAACCTACTAATGGCAAAAATTTGAATAATCTCTTATATAATATATAGGTAGTATTATAGTGATAGTATTTTGTCGATCAGTTGGAATAAGATATCTGTAACTATAGTTGTATTAGCATGACTGACAGGTCATGAGACATCTGCACAATATTGAAGTTATATAGAAAAATACAAACTAGTATCAGATGGTACAAACCCAAGATAAGTTCTTATGCCTATATAAATCTGTAGAACTGGGAAGCCAAAACCCACTTGAAAAGACCTGAGTAGAAAGGTAGTATAGATCTTCAATAGTACTACTGTAAAGACTAAATCTAGGAAATGAATACTAATATAAAAGAAATTAGATAAGCAAGAACCTCAGATAAGAGGTACTACCAGCCAGACCACCAAAAGTTTTGAACTGAAGAAAAAGAAACTTGAAGAGGCAGACCTTTGAGATATCAAGAACAGGTTATAGTTCTTCTGAGTTAATAGATTGGGAATTTGAGAACCAAAGCAGAGTATAGCTAAGTACTAAGAATATGCTATAAAGCCAGTACTAGGGTTCAGATGAACTTTACAAAAGCAAGCCTTATTAGCAAAAATTAAATATAAGTAGTTAGTTAGCAGAAGGGCCTTCTGGAGCCCTACAGTTAGGTAATGTATTCTGAAATATGTAATGGTTTGACAGACATACAGACAAAGAGATCAGGATTAGGTTAAATGATACCATTTAGATGTTTGAAAACTTGTGTGCTATCTGCTAATATAGTATAAAGCTCACCTTATACAAGTTATATAATTATAATTGAATTCATAATAAAGACAGTAGCTGCTGATAACTAACAATCTTAGCAAAAGCAAAAAAAAAAAAAAAAGAGATAATATATATCTTTAATAATATTATATTTTTAATAATATTATTACAAAAACTAGACTTAAAAAATGTATACTAATATAAAGAAATTAAACAACTAAAAACTTTTAAGCAAAGAATATTACTAATCTGATTGTCAGATTCAGATTAGAGAAAAAAATTAAACCAAACTTAATATATCAAAAACAAGTTATAGTTCTTTTAAGTTATTTGAATTAAAAATTCAAAAACAAAACAAAAGTATACTAAAATACTAGAATTTGCTATAAAATTGATGCTAGAGTTTAGATAAACTTTGCAAAAGCATACCTCTATTAATAGTTTATAGAATAAATAGATTAGTTAACAAAAACATCCAAAACTTTACAGCTAAATAATATGCTTTAAAATAAGTAACAACTTGACAGATATATAAGAAATAAGACTAAATACTGAATTAGATAACACTTAGATATACAGAAACCTGACACTACTTGTCTAGTAAAGTATAAAACTTTTAAATAAACTGCTTAAATAAGCAACTAAAAAATGCATAAGTAACTAGTTGTACACTTATTTTTGTACAAGTTATATGTAATATATATATAATTAAAAACACAAAAAAGATAATGACTGCTATAAAACATCAACCTTAACAAAAAAAAGTTTTACATTTTATTACTATATAAAATTTTTTTGTAACTAATTATATATATGTTGTACTCTACTCTTAAGCATAACTTAATTAGCATAATTTCAAAATTCAATTTACTCTATAACCATTTCTCTAATAAACAGTTTTTTTGACAATGAATTGCTAATAACAACATTTTCTAAGATCCTTTATTGTATCTTGGGATTCTTTTATCTGTATTGATTTAAACTATTTTCAAGCACTTCTTTTAGTAGTTTACAAAACAATCTAATTGATTATTTAAATCAAAAGAAAAAAAAATCCGTGCTATAATATTTACTGTATTTTTTTTTATAGAGTTGTATTAATTGGTTAAGATTAAAGCATGTTTATAATTATATTTGAATGTTCAATAAATTTATTTATTAGTCTTTTAATTAAATCAATGAAAAATTAAGAATGCTAAACATCCAGAAAACAGATGTGAATCTTAATTTGGGCCACTCATATAAATATTTTAAAAATTGCATTTTTACTATCAATAGTTTTATATTTTTAATGCACTTTCATAATTTACCGCAATGGAAGCTATTAGATATTTATCGTAGTATCTTATCTCTCATTTAAGATTTATGTATGCATTAGTTTTATGAGTAAACATAATGTTAAAATTTAATTTTTCTAATAAGGGCGCCAGTGACGCTTACTTATGCATTAATTAATAATTATCTATTATAAAAATATTGTAAGTAGCTTTTAAATTTACAAATTTTGTCACAACACAAATTGAACTAATTTCAAAGCACTAATCGTTTTTAACTTCACTATCTTTAACTTTTTTCTTAAAAAAATAAGATTAAAAAGATTTTGAAACAGAATATTGCAAATTAAACTAACCTAATAAATTAGTCATATTAGATGGGAGTTCAACAGTTGAACTTGCGAACTGCTTCGTAATGGAGCCACTAAATTGAGTGGATACTACGTATAATGAAACACTGCTTAATTATAAAGTATTACTTACGAAGTAGAAGAAATTTTGATCTAATTAGTACCTTTAAGGCTCTCTGTTATTTCTTGTACATCAATTAATGTACTACAATATTTAATTTGAAGCATTGACAAAGATCTTAGTGATGCTTTTTTGTTTATACTGTCAGCTTCGATAAATTTCTTTTTTATATCAAGATCCTCTTTATCTATTAAATCTTCTGATTCCATAATTATTTTCCAATGATTAATTTTTGAATAAACATATTCAGCAGTAGGTCGATTTTGTGGATTTGAATCCATGCAATGATTAGCTAATTCAATGAAGCATTCAGGAGTTCCATTAGCAAATTCCGGACGTAAACCATGGCAAATAGCTACCGCAAGTTTGGTATCGTATTTAGTATCATCATAAGGTCTTTTTCCAGTTGATATTTCTGTCATTATAACACCTAAACCATAAATATCTGCTTCTTGTGTATGTTTCTGACCCATGAGAATTTCTGGTGCAACATATGGCATAATACCATAAACACCTCCTTCTGAATTATCATCATTTTGTTTTCTAGATAATCCTAGATCTGTAATGTATGAAATTATATCTCCATCGATACCTTGATTCAGTAAAATATTGCCACTGTGAAAGTCATTATGAATAAGTTTGGTTTTATGAATTCGAGACAAATCATAAGATATATCTGCAAGCAATTTTAATTTTCTTTCCCATAAAAGTTCTCTAAAATATTTAGTTAAAAAATCATGAAGATTTCCTCTATTGGCAAATTGATATACCATCATATATTGACCAGTCTCTGTATGCTGAGTTAAACCGTATACTTCAAGTTCACTACCTTCTAATCTACATTCCATGTGATTTTTAAACTTAGAAAATATATAAATAAAATTTTGTAAGATAATATTGTGAGTAATAAATTTACAATTAAATAAATAATTCAGTTTACCTCAGCTAAAAAATTGAAGGAGTTCGTTTGAGAACCAGGCAATGTTTTAAGAGCGACTTCACTTGATTTGTTACGAAATCGTACATAACCCACACTATTATCACCTTCAACCATTCTTTTGCCATCTAGCCAAACTGCTGAATATACTGTACCAAACCCTCCTTTGCCAATAATTTTTATATTGTCTAGTCTTTCAAATGGAATCCATTCAATTACTTTTTCATATGCAGTAGCTTTAAGTTGAAAATCCCTGATGAAATCGTCAATATTCTTATCACCACTTGTAATTGTTTCTTGAGTTTCTATTGGAGCATCACACAATTGGCACCAAGCTGGATAAGTATTGTATCGTTTACAATGTTTGCATATTCCATTAATGGGCTTTCTTTTATCATGATAAAAATCAAGTACAATCATGTATTGACCGGTTTCCGTATTTTGAGTAATTCCATATATTTTATATTTCTCTACTTGCATAAGAATTTTAAACTTACAAAAAAATATGTTAAGTAATTAGATTGTATCTCATTCTTTAAAAAAATAATTTTAACTTACTTTTTCTATAAGATTCAAAGTGCTTGTTTGGGAATAATGTAATTTCATGAGGTCAACACATGATATAGTGCGTGATTGTGTATATTTTCCATATTCACCTTTAATAGTTCGTATACCATTCAACCAGGTAGCTATGAATACTAAATCCGATTTTTCATCTATTTCTTGATACGATTCTTTAATTTCTAAATTAGATTTCTCTTTAATTCCTTTATCAGATTCTTTAATTTCTTGTAAATTAATTAGTCTATCATATGGAATCCATTCAATAATTTGCTCATATTCCTCAGCTTTGATTTGAAGGTCTTTGATAAATTTATCAATTTCTATGTTTCCACTTGTCCATTCTTGAGTTGTTTTCCATGGATCACAAGATTGACACCAAGCAGGAGAAGTATTATATTGTTTACAGTGAATACATTTTCCATTTGAAGCATTTCTTCTAGAATTAAACTCATCTGGTACTACTATTATATATTGCATTGTTACTGGATTTTGGCTAATTCCATATACAATATTTTCTTTCAGCTGCATATAATTTGTAAGCTTAAGATTTAAACGAGTTAATAATATTACAATATGCTATATATACAATAAGCCTTGTAAATAATATTAGCTTACTTTTGTTATAAAAACGTCACTTTTTTCAGAATCTTGCAATATTTTAAGGTTAACCCCACATGATTCAATACGTGATTGTATATATTCCATGAGCCACCCTTTAATTATTCTTTTGCCATCTAACCAAGTCGCCATAAGTACTGTGTTTGGTTCCTCTTCTCTAATCATTTGCATGTTAACCAATCTATTAAATGGAATCCATTCGATCATATTTTCATATTCTGTGACTTTGATTTGAAGTTCTTTGATATAATCATCAATATTTTTATTTCCACTGCTCCACCCTTGAGTTGTTTCCAAAGGATCACATAATTGGCACCAGGCTGGAGAAATGTAAGGCTGCTTACATTTTGAGCATTTTCCATAAAAATCATGTCTTTTTGTTATAAAATACGTATAATTTATTAAGTTGTATTAATTACTAAAAAATAAATGATGATATTATAACAAGAGCTTACTAACCTTTTCATTCATTAATTCAACAGTTGATTTTATAAATTAATTAATATTTATGAATAATAATTTTACAAACCATGTTTACTTACTTACTATTTATAAGATTAATAAAATATATATATATATATTAGAATTTTGAATGCTTATTGAGACGTTTATTCTATAAATTAAATTGATACTTACAAACTTATAATTTCCATAAAGAAAGACATGTATTTAATGATGATTCTTTATTAAATACTAATTTGATATATAAACCTTAATACTTACTTTCTTTAATAAAATAAAACATGATTATTGTTATAATACAGTATATATAATGGTAAATTAATAAATTAAAAAAATTTTATACTAACCGTCTAATAAAAATTTGATTAGAATAATGGTTATTTATTAAGCGTGAATATTATATAATATATACCTGATAATGATTTATAATATATACCTGATAATGATTAAAGTTATCATCTTGCTCACATAATTAAAGATGGTCATATAAATTTTAAGGCAAGATGTAACAAGCAATAGGAATGGCAACATTTCATATGTCCAATTAAATCTAGCATATTTGTAATAAAAGACCTATTTAAATAATATTACAAAGTATAACATTGAAACAGAAAAGTGAATTAATAGAACCGAATAACATTGTACAAATACACAAATTATTAATTCATTTAATAATCTCAACGATAAATATAAAATGTATCATAGCCTCGATATAATCATTGGGTTGATAACTAAAGTTTAATGTACGTAATTTGGTGATGGATTTGAAGGCGTAGGATTGATTTCATTACCATGGAATGCTCAGAAACTAATATTGTTGAACAAAAAAATTTTGTTTGTATTAGGGCTGGAGTCTAAGTTAATTGGATTAGAAAGAGCAATATTACAGTAAAATTGCATAAGAAAATTTTTGCTAAGACTCTAAAGGTGGTTGACTAAACAATCTTTGAAATAAATACGATTCTTACAGAGAAAACGTTTACTTCGAATTTTTTTATGTTAGGTTTAAACATTTTTTCACCAATTTGAAACAGGTGATGATTAAAGCCTGAATAGTTAAGTTTAGATTAAAAATATAGTTAATATCATAATCATCACCTGTTTTTAATTTTTGAAAATTATGTGACAGTAAAATCAATCCTACGCCCTTATGTTGTCCTAAGATGATATAGAGGCTAGTACTTTTATCTTTTATAAACAGAAAAAATAGTAGCGTTTTAATCTATTAAAATGATTATATTGAAGTTAGTCTGTATATTTACTCACTTGGATAATAATTTGTGGAATATTTCTGAAAAAAACATCAAAGAATGCACCCCACATAATCGCAATCCCGAATATACGCTTAAGCATATTAAATATATTGATTTGCTCGTATCGGTATGGTCCCTTAGTAAACCTAGGTACATCCCTCAAAATGAACAAATATTCATAATCAGTTGCTGTTAAAATAATGAACATGGCCGTTAAACTACGATGTTTTATAACCCATTGTTGAAAGCTTTTTCCAATAACAGGATCTTTAAATCCCTTATAAATCGTATAGGTTGCTATATAGAAGTTTGAGAGTGCTGAAATATTTAGGAGCAATAAACTTTGAACATGTATTTTGCAAGAATTAAAAGGTTGTTAATTTAATGTTTAGAATCAATAGAATTAAAAAAAATTATTAGAAATACCTTGGAAAATAAAGTTCTGGCACAACATTAGAATATGTCATAACAAAAACAGTTGAAAAAAAGAAATTTGGGATGATTAGTCCAAGCCTTAATATTGCAGAACTTATTGCCTCAAATTCTTTCGATTTTAACTTTTAAGAGAAAATTATATTAATGTTCATGAAGAAAAGCTTTTAAGAAAATATCTGATAAAACAAAGTTACCTTATAATTAAGTATATGAGACAATAAACAGAATATTATATAAATAATAATTGCAACGATTACTTGTACAAAGTATTCATTCCATGCACTTAGCATAATCCCTGAATATAAAAATTAGTCGTGAATTTCAACTCTGACAGAATCTTTAAATGAGATTATTAACTCACCACTTGGCTTAAGGCCAAAAGTCGAGTCTAAGTCATTTGTCAAGCCAATGGAGAATTCAGTAACTGCCTTATCTGTAATCATAGTATCTAAATTTGACACCACTCCTAGAACAGTGTTTTCATTTTGTGCTGGATTTGGTGAATTTACAATTAAGATATAAAATTCAATATTTTCTAAATCTGTAATAGAATCATGAATAGGTCGAGGGTATCCATATATATTTAGACGTTCACGTCTGACTGGCAATTTTATAGAAATTTCATCTAGTAAAGAGTTAAAGTATATTGTTTGGTCATTCCTAGAGAGGGTTAAAACAGTTTTTGTTGCTTCCGTAGTGAGATGGGCCGAATAGACATTTCTATCTTCTGTAAAAAAGTACAAGAAGAGTTTAAACATATGAAAATTTGAAGATGTGAATCTTTATGTTACATTACCTGAGGGGGGCGCTCTATATACTAAATAATATAAAATATCAATTAAAATATCAATAAAATAAAAGTCAGATAAAGCCAAAATATTACTTGAATTATATTTCAGATTCCCTCCTACAAATCCTTTTAGAGGTTCATTATATTCTTTACTTTTGACAAAATTGTTATCCATTGTCACAGAATACAATTCTCCATACTCATTGAACGTGCTACTAATGACTTTTATAATAATGGTTTTCCCATCTGGATCGATTGTACAAAATTCCTCCATCGATGCTGAAACTCGTTGTCTAATGCTGTTATCAGAGGTTTTGTAGATAGTGAGGTTGCCAGTTGACAAAACAACAGGATCAAAGAAGGTGATTCTTAAAGCGTTCGTTAATGAATTGACACTAGCATTAATAGGTGGGGTAATTTTGTCAATTAAGAGATTTTTATAACCATTGTCTAAAAAATATATATATAATATCATTACCATTATAAAAAAAAAATTTCAAGTGATTAAATTTACATAATAGTTGATATAAACATACCATGATCCTTCAGGAATTGAGGCAACGAAATAGTTAACAAAGACCAAGAAGTATTTTGACTATTTGTATAAGATGAGGCAAGCATAAAAGTATTATTATTATTCATTATAGCATAAACATCAAATTCATTGGTAATAAAAGGACCAAGTCGCTCAAAAAGTTTATCTTCATTATAAACACCAATATAATGATAATTAGTATTACTATTAAAGTTATAAAAGGTAGTATCAAATATATAACCGCCGAATGGCATTTGCACCCTTTTAAAATCTTGTTGAGGCAAACCAGTTAGTTTAGGGGGAGGTATTAAAGTTGATGATAACACTGCTCCTGATGACAAAAAATTAATTTCTACATAGTACGATATGGTGCTACCGTTCACGAAAACTGTGCAAACGTGGCCAATTCCAAAGGGCACTGTAACACACTGAGTTTCTAAATTTGAAATATTAATAACTCGATGAAATCCTTGATAGAGAATAAAAGCGTGCTCATTTGAAATTGTTTGATTATAGGATATGAAGATGACATTCAGTTCGACACGCGTAAATGAAATGGTGGCATTATATTCTATTTGAGAAGTATAAGCTTGAAATATTGCATAACCACTATCAATAGTGGACAATGAAGTGGTCACTAAAGAGGTTTCTTCTAAATTAATCAAAACGTTATCACTTGACAGTCTTGATAAGTTTCCAAAATCATCACTATATGGTTATAATAATAAAATATAAATACATTAATTATAACAAACAATATAAAATGCACCTATATGTTTAACAGCATATACTGTATACGTTATTATTTGTGCTGTATTATAAATTTTTGCTAGTAAAATTTGGAGTCAAATTTAGGTGTTTAGGATAAAAGTTCTTTTTTGGGCACTGAATATACCAAACATTTTTACTTTGGGTACCAAATACTGATTATTGAAACGGATTTGAAATACGGCACAGCAGCAACTATGGTGTTAAACACCTATGGTGCACTTTAGTAAATTTAAACAAAAACGATAATGATTATATATATTAAGAATATTAAATTACACTAAATATTGCTGCCATTCGATCCACTTTGATGTGTCATTGTTTACAACAACATATCTAAGAAATCCGAGCTTCTCGTTTACGTTTAACCGAATTTTACTTTCTGAGACCCAAGAACCTTGAGGATTCACATAAGATGGGCCATAATATATGACACTGATTATTTATAAAATTATGATTTATTAATAGATCGATAATAATAATCTTTATAAAATATTTGTTGTCATACATACCTTAAACTCTTACCGCTCCAATCAATAACCTGTCCCCATTCCTCATAGGTTTTAAGGTCAGAAGTATTGTTAGTTTTATAATAATTTACAAGAATAAATGGTTGTTGCAAAGGGAATATTTCAATAGGATTCACTAAAAATTCATTTTTAAAAAGGCAAAAGTTCAACGAATCTATATCTAAATTGGCATTAATTTCGATAACGGTTCCGTTTAATTGAATAACTCTTATACGTAATATCGGTTCTAAATTAATTCCATTTATTCTTGAGCAATCGGCTGTTTGTATACCATATCGTATTATATGGACAAGAGTTGTTCCATCGTCATAAGTTCGAATGTTTACTACTTTAGGCGCATTTTGAGGAAATTCAGTATTTGTTGTATTTTCTGTGTAGTTAAAGAAGTTCAATTGTGATTGTTGTGATATCGTTGATGTTATGAATAAGCAAAGTGATATTAGGTATAAGCATTGTGCCGTAAGGTTGTAATATAACTTCATTGCGAATTGCTTTTATGCCTGGTTATTAGAACTTTTATGTGTCATATATAAAAAAAAAAAAAACTAAAAATTGATTGGATATAATAATGAAAAAATTGGGTTATTTAAATAGTTTAAACAGTTAAACTGAACATAAATGAAAAAAAAACTATCTAGAACAAGAATCAAGAGGTTTGAACTAAATACTGTTTATATCTAATCTGATATTCTTTACACTAAACATTTATAGAGTTTAGAATTAAATGATACCCCGACACTATTTAAAGGATATACTTATTCAAGAGGGCGATCACTAAATCATGGCCAAAGATATATTTATTACAACAACCGTATTCACTGGTAACCTAACTTGCATATATAAAAGCTTCAATAGTAAGACCGGTAAATTTCATATCTATGTCCTGATGGGAAATCAGAAATCAGAAATCAGAAGCAATCGATTTCTTTTAATGGTTTGCAAAATTCATGAAATTTTGAAAATCGCAATAAAATGTTAGCGTTAGAGCAATTTTGCCTATAATGTATGCTAACCTTAACCTCAAACTAGTTCTAATCCTAATTTGGATTACGATTTAAATGCACTTCTGAATAAGGAAGCTTGAAAAATGGTCTCATTTTAAGTTCTAATAAGAAAGGGGCTTATTTGCGCCCGTAACACAAACCAAAAAAGGCATTTATAACAAAAAAAACAGTAAGATTCAAGATTAGTGGTTAGGATAAGAGAAAATAACTAAATAAAGTGGGTTTTATATGTAATATTTCATTCCTGGCATTTTTAAATAGTATCTTCAGGTTTATTTATTTTCTCGTTTTCTTTTTTGAATATGTCGATCTGTTCTACAGATCGGGTACGTATCACTTTATAGACAATCATTAATTCATAGACAATTAATTAAGCATGTCCGTAATCTGTGACACTAATTTCAATCACCGTCTGATTATATTCCCAGAATAATACCCTGGCTCAACTCTCTCACATGATTTTTGTCAGGGAACGTTATCGTTATTATTTCAATAAATTAATATCCCGATTTTTTTATTAAGTATAAATATATATCGACAAAGTATTTTAATAGCTTTTAAGCATAACTGGTATGTTACCCTTTGATCACAACCCAGGTAGTTACTACGGCAATTTATAAGTTACATTAAAGTGTTTTACAGTTTAAAAAAAAACTATTTCAACGGCTTAGAAAAATCTTAACTTTACAATTAGTAAAGTTAAAGTTTAAACCGTCAATGTGAAACCCTGGGCGGAATAAATAAAGGAGTAATAGAGATCTTGATCAATTTCGGGTGATTGAATTGGCTTGATCATCATTCTTCATTTTCACCGTTACCATTACTATCATCGTCACTATACTTGTAAATGTAAAATTTTATAAATTAATATAGTATACGTAGTAAAATAATATATAATATATATACAACCCTTTTGTATACCAGGTGGTACTATAAGTTTTGCAACGTTAACTCGTTGCTGCTCATTTTGTGACCTATACGTATTGTATGCCTCTACTGTACAACGTTTGGTGATGCTCATTCCAAATATCTACACCGACGTCATTCAATTTTGAGCTACGTATATGTTTGCCAGCACAATTAATACCTATAATGGAATAAATTTCCTTCATAAAACTGGATAACTTATCACGACCTACATGACATAAAAGAATGTTTCATTTTTATTTTTTTTTAGTATTGATATCTTTAAAAGAGAAAGGAAAATATCAATTTAATATCATTTTATATAAGTTTAATACGTATGAGCTAATGACGAATTTGTTTCATGTGAGAGGTCAGGGTATTATTATTGCTAAGACTTGATTGTCATAAACTATTAAAAAAAAAAAAATCTTATAAATTCAAAAGTTGCTTTTGATATTAACTAAACAAATAATTCACAAGTATATTATAATTACTTTAAGCAAAGCAAACAATATGTCGTTTCTTTAACCGTGCTATTGTTCAACACATTCTTCCTTAAAAGATACTTTTTTTTACTTAATTCTACCTTTTTCGAATAAAGATAACTCGAACTGAATTCTTCTTTCTTCCATAAAGACAAATTTTGTGAGATTTTATTTTTGCTATATTACACTGATCTTTGAATTTATCTAATACGGTTCGTAATATTGGCCTAATATTTTGGCAGTTTATATTAATAACTAAAAATGAATTGATGCCAGAAATATCGTTCTCATCCATTTTCTTAATTCCGTTTTTTTTTAAAAAATATATATCAAAATTTGTACAGTATAACCTGCATTTTATTAAAAAATTGGTTCTTTTTTACAGTAAGTCTTATTATAAGTCGATAAGTTTTTTAAACTTTTAATTTGCACATTTTACTCATGTTAGAAAAAAAAAAATAATTTGATTAATAAAATCAAAAAAAAATAAAGAATAATCAAATACGACCAAATCGTTTTTATATATTCAACTTTAACTTCGTAATGATAAGCCTTTTCAAATTCCTAAATACAATAGCTTTTCATCATGATTTAAGGTGGTGAATGAAATCGGTGGCTTAACCTGTCACGTACATTAATTAATAGGCAATTAATTAATAGGAAATCAGGAGTCTGTCTCTAATCTAATCCAACCCTCGCGTAACCTACGGCGGCTAAGTAGAGATGTGCCGTTTATATGATAATCCTTTTTTTTTCGCATACAGTACGTACAGTACAAAATAATATAGTAAAGTAAATAAATAATATCTTTTTTTTTTTTATAAATCAAAAATGTCAAATGAGGACTTGACCAATATAATCGATAGTTTCAATCAACCAAATTTTAACGAATGTCAAAAATTAGTGGATATAAACGAACCAGACGGGATTTATTGGCTCGGTATTGTTACGAATATGGAATTTGGGTTGAAAAAGATGAAAACAAAGCATTTATTTATTATCAAAAATCGGCAGACATGAATAATTCTAAGGGAATTTATCAAGTTGGATATTGCTACTATTTAGGTATTGGTGAAGTTGATAAGCACAAAGCATTCAAGCATTACCAAAAGTCTGCCGAAATGAATAATCTTAATGGAATCTATAAAACTGCTATTTGTTACTTGTATTGAATTGACGTGAAAAAGAATGAGCATAAATTTTGTGAATGGATTAAAAAGTAAGATAATTATTTTACGTTTATTATTTAAAATTGGGAATATTTTTATACAATTTTGATTCTTCAATTTAATTATTAGGGAGTAAGTATAAATAAAAAGGTCCATTAATTACGATTAGCTAATTAAGTTTATAAATATTAATTATTTTAGTTAATTTAGCCCGTAAGTATGAAGAACATTTATTAATCATTAGAATTAAAAACAGTAAAGAAAGTTCACAAATCAAGAACATAAATACTTATTTATCATTACTATTTAATACCTTTCAAATAATTTCATTCGCATTCATTTAGTCGATAAGTAAAAATTATTTACATTCGAGAAAAGGTTTAAAATAGCATGGCAGATGAAATAATAAAATCTATATATTATATATTGCGATTATGAAGCGACTCTAAATATGGAAAATGTGCATATTGTAATGAATATAATACATATGAAGCTTGTTACCTATCATGCGATCCTGACATAACAAGGTAGTCTAGTAGAAGTAAGGATATTGACGATTACATAAAAAGTTCCAAGTTAGAACCTTTGCATACAATGATGCAATCGAATGGATTCCATTTGATAGATTATCTGATATTAAAGAAATTGGTAAAGGAGGATTCGGCTCTGTATATTCAGCAACCTGGTTGGATGGTATACGAAAAATCGACGGAAATAATTTTAATTATGTTAGATCACATGAAAAGTTTAGCATTGTTGCACTCAAGGCATTGTTTGGTTCTTTAAAAGAAGTAAGTTAATCTACTTATTCAATAATTTATTAAATAAATAATGAACCAATTCATTTAATTATTTATTCACATAATTATAAAGTATGAGAATCATATAACATGTAGCCTATTTGGTAGTCAACTTAAAATATACAGATTAACTCAAAACAGTGAAAATAAATACTTGATGGTATTTTAATACGTTTATGATAGAAGCCTTCACAAGTTTTTAAGAAAAAACTTTTGTGATCTTACTTGGCAAACTAAATTGAACCGATTTTTTGATATTTCTAAAGATTTATGTCAAATTCACGGAGTGGGATATTTTCATGCAGACTTGCATAGTAGTAATATTTTACAAATGAAGGCATTAATAAAAACATGCAATCTTACATTTCAGATCTGGGATTGTTCAAAAAGGAAAACAAAAATAATTCAAACAGTGATATTTATAAAGCTATGCCTTATGTTGCTTCTGAGGTTTTATCAGGTCAAAAGTTTATACAAACTGCTAATACGTATTTATGGTTTTGAAGTCATTATGTCAGGAATGTCAACTGGTTAAAGACCTTTTGATAGTTACCAATTTGATTATAAATTTGCTATAAAGATTTGCTATGGATTATAGTTATAATTTGCTTATAGAACTTCAGACTATTATATTAAATTTGCTAGGCAGTGCATGGATTCTGATCCAAAAAAACAGATTAATGTTAATAGTATTCAGTATAAACTTTTTAAATAAAATAGATGCATAAAAAGTTCAAATAATGCAAATAAATTCAAAAAGCAATTCTTAGAAGCAAATAAAGTAGTCAAAGAATTGCCAATTACTTTGTCAAAACATTTAAACTTTATGTATATTAGAAAAACTATCAAAAAAAATATCAAATGCATTAAAGATAATTTTATAAAAAATTATTAATTTATTATTTGATTAAATCTAATTATATTATATTATCAGTTTTAACAAGTTAATATATTAATTCTGTAGAAGTGTAATAACTTAGTAAAGTGGACAGGTTGTCAACCCTCAAGTGGCAGGTCTAGTGTTCAAATCCCATAGTCAATAAAATTTGAATAATTATATCTGTGTTATAGTAACTGTGTCTTATCGATTGGTTAGATGAAGAGAAAATCTGTAATCT